AAGCACTAGCTTGCCTAAGGTTAATGCCTATTGGTACGGCATTGAAAACAAATACTTAAGTCCCCCATTGGGCGGTGAAGGACTTAGAGCTAAGTCACCCCAAAACTCTCCGGCATGAGATCAAAAATGGATCGGACGGTGGAGGGGNGTGCGGCACGCTCAATGCATTGTTTTCGATTGGAGGGAGGCGACGACAAAGCAGTAAGGGATTGTTGGCCAAACTTTCGGCAGATAGGTCTACTCGGGAGCGTAAGTGGGGTAGCAACCCATGGTGGAGCGTACATGAGAAGCTGGACGTTGGTGTACGCTCCATCCCGGCGTGTGAGTAGGATCTTAGGCTATGCAAGTCGTCCCTGAACTTATTGTGGTGAAATTGACCTCCTAGGAGGAAAGTAGCCTGTACCGTGGGACTTCGGAGATGATAAAATGGGTGGTCGGGGGACGTCTGGTTGTTTACTATGCAGAGCGCCCCGCACAAGACTGTGTACTTGTGCCAGGAGTTGTGAACTTGGATCAAGACTACGAGCCTATGTTGGAGGTGCTATTTATAGCGTGCTATATAGCGTTGGTGAGCCGGCAAAAAAGACGAAAGGAACCACAACCCCCGCCGGACACTCGGATTGGGAAGGCCGAGTATTCCGAATACCTTCCTGAAAAGGCACGAAAAAACAAGTAGCCACGGTCCAGTTACCGTAGAAATCATGAGGATGGTGAAGAACCCGGGAAGATGGAAGCAGAAACTGTGGAAAGGAGACAAGTTGGAGCTGCTGCTGTTTGGGATTCCAAGGGACATGACGAGGATAGAGTTCAAGAACTGTTGTCGCAGGGAGGGACTGCACTGCCTAGCAAGGGGACGAGTAGGCAGAGAGCATGAACATTTCCAAGTGAATTGACCAAGGGAGACAGCCAAGAGTGCTTGGGGGTTGACATCGAGGAGCTGTCGAACTACGTAGGGAAGTTTGGATGGAGGCTTTGCATCGCGAACATGATAGAAACAAAGAAGGTAAGGAGACAAGAGGCGAGGGCGATTGAGGCGAAGAAAGGACCAAGCGGGGGAGGCGAGCAGGCAAGTCAGAAGAACGCCGGGAAGAAGCGGAAGGCGAACGATAGAGTGCACAATATCTCCAATACGGAAAAGCACAAGCTGAGAGTCGGGTCGTGGAACGTGTGCGGGTTCGCAAGGAGTGAGCGCAGGCGGTTGGAAATAGTGGACCAAAGAACAAAGCGATCTATGTAGTGGGTATCCAAGAGACGTGGGAATTGAAGGATAGTGACGTGGTAAGCAAGCTAGGGAAATACCGGTGGGTAGGGAAGGCAGCTTAGACCCGAAGAAAAGGGGGGAGGGGGGAGTCGGATTCCTAGGAAAGGAACACTTGTTTGACGTGGTGGAAGTAGTGGTGAATACGGAGTTCGAG